GGTGGTTCTCTCCTTCTGGGAGGACGTCATATGACGTCCTCCCATTCTTAGCGCGGCGATCGGTGGTGCACTGTGTCCCTTGGACACAGCAGATCACCGATCTATGGAGAGAGCCAAAGATGTCGGCTCGGTCATGTGATCAGCTGTGTCCAGTCACAGTTGATCACATGTAAAACGGAAATGCCGGTTATCGGCATTTCTCTCCTCACGAGCTGTCATGCCGACAGCTTGAGAGGAGAGGGGAGCCGGTAATCGGCATTCCGCGGAGGGGACATGTACACTGATCATCAGGGCACTGATGATCAGTGTGCCCTGATGATCAGTGTGGCCCCAGAAGTGTCACCTGTCAGTGTCCATCAGTGCCAGCTGTCAGTGCCACATGTCAGTGCCCATCAGTGCCACATATCAGTACCTACCAGTGCACATCAATGCCACATATCGGTGCCCATCTGAGCTGCCTTTCAGTATCACCCATCAGTGCCGCCTAACAGTGCCCGTCAGTGCCGCCTAACAGTGCCCTATATCAGTGCCCATTAGTGATGCCTGTTAATGCCCAGTGCCACCTTTCAGTGCAGCCTATCAGTGCCCATCACTGCAGCCTCATTAGCGCACATCAGTGAAGGAGAAAAATCACTTATTTACAAACTTTTACAACAAAAACTAAGAAAAAATGTTTTTTTTTTTTTCAAAATTTTCAGCAGTTTTTGGTTTAAGAAAAAATAAAAACCCCGAGGTGATTAAATACCACCAAAAGAAAGCTCTGTCACAAAAAAATGCTAAAAATTTCATATGGGTACAATGTTGCATGACCACGCAAATTGTCATTCAAAGTGTGACAGTGCTGAGAGCTGGAAATTGGCCTGGGCAGGAAGGGGGTATAAGTGCCCTGTAGGCAAGCAGTTAATAGCAAAAAGTCAAATATTTACTTTTCCAAAATTGTCAGTCTATTTTTGTTTATAGTGCAAAAAATGAAAAAGCTACTGAAGCAATCAAATACCACCAAGAGAAAACCTTTATTTGTGGGGGGGGGGGGGGGGGGGGGAAATGACTTAAATTTAATTTGGGTGCAGCGTTGCATGACCGTGCAATTGTCAGTGAAAGTAACGCAGCACCTTATCACAGAAAATGGCCTGGTCAGGAAGGGGGGCAATTCCTCTGGTGGGCAAGTGGCAGTTCCTCCTATGGTAGTAAGAGGGAGCTAGAATTCTAATTCTCAGAAGGGCTGAGTAGCAGCCCAGGTGCAGTAGTCAGGGGGTAAAATTTTGGTCATCGACTGAGAGGCTTTGCAGACCAGCTCTCTGGGACTTCCCCCTGCTCTGGAGTTGGAGAAAATTTTAGAAGCAGTGGGAGAGAGAGAGGAGTGGCTGGTTTGCACTCTCAAGGGATCCTGGCCAATCCCCAATAGGAAGCTTGGCTTGGGGCCAGACCAATTCTTAAGAGTGGACTGAGCCTGCTGAGTAGCAGGAGAGTTTGGGTGGAAGATGGAGAAGTGAGACTGGAGAGAAGGAGCCTGGGAGGGGGCCCAGATGGAGAGGTGCTCACCTACAGGCTGAAGATCTTGGAAGGAGGAAAGCTCAGGACTTCACGCCCCCAGAGCGAGGACCACCTATGCAGCGGGGAAGGAGCGACCCAGCAGAAGGCCTGAGAGCAGCCACCGACCCAACAGCAACACAGGGGAAGGACTGAGTGAGTAGACCTGTACCCCCTGGGCCAGTAAGGGGAAAGAGCACTTTGGTGGGAAAGTGGATTAGCTACTACCCAGGATTGTCTTCTCTTAAAGTGACAGGCACTGGATCCCCTGCCCAGGGATTCACCCAGAACAGCTGGATAAGGAGTATCTAGGGTCTGGGGTGGTACAACAGATTCTGGCTAGCTCTCTAAGAAGAACGATCCATTCTTTGCTGTCAAAGAGACTTGTACATCGTTCAGGAAGATTGTCCTCCGTTGCTATTACCCTTGGGCATCCCGTACACCCCTTGCTCAATCCAAGTTCTAATTCCCCTAATAAAAACCAAACAACAAGTTCAAGGACTGGTTACTGTCTGCCGAATTCAAGTCTGTGAAAAAAGCGTGCTGCCTAGCTGTTCTGGACTATAGGACCAAATTTCAGCAACTCCCGAGGGGGTAGTGCTACACACGTTATGTATGGCCACCATAATGGTGCATATACATTTATGTTGTGTTGCACTTACGATATAGTGCATTTTTTTTTTATTTTGTGAATGTATCGGCAATGCTACTTTGTATGTTATGACCAAAAGTCTTGTAATTATTACATTTTCTGAAGTACATCAAAAACAAATGTCAGCTACACTGGGAACAGACAAAGGATTTGTGTTGAACTATGTTTCTACCCATAAAAGTCGATGCAAATGCAGCTTAACCCCTTAACCGTTTCAATACCGTGCAATTTTACACCTTCCTGCCCAGGCCATTTTTCAGGTTTCAGCGCTCTCACACTTTGAATGACAATAGCGGTCATACAACACTGTACCCAAACTAAAATTTTATCATTTTCTTCACACAACTAGAGCTTTCTTTTGGTGGTATTTAATCACGGCTGGGGTTTTTATTTTTTGCTAAATTAACGAAAAAAGACCAAAAATTTTGAAAAAAAAAAAAACACATTTTTCTTTGTTTCTGTTATAAAAGTTTCCAAATAAATAATTGTTCTTCATAAATTTAGGCCGAGATGTATTCTGCTACATGTCTTTGGTAAAATAACCCAAATTAGGATGTATTTTTTAGTTTGTAGGAAAGTTATAGAGTTCACAAACTATGGTATATATCTGAATATTGATCAATCCTGAAGTACTGACAGCCAATCTAATTTCTTGAGGTCCAAGAATGTCAGAATAGTACAGATATCCCCAAATGACCCCTTTTTGCAGAGTAGACAGTCCAACGTACTTCATAAGAGGCATGGCGAGTTTTTTGAAGTTGTATTTTTTTGTCATCATTTTTCGGAAAATGAAAAAATTTAAAATTATTATTTTTTTTACATACTATTTTTTTTTTTTTTTACATACTGTCACCAGTTCAGTACAGCGTCATCATATAACTGGCATGGTGGTGAACAGGGACACTGACTGGTGACAGTATGAAAAAAAAAAAAAATATATATATTTTTTTTTTTTATTATATTTAATTTTTTATTACATTTTTTAAAATTTTTTTTAAGATTTTTTTTCATATTTTACTATGACCAAAGTAGTACAATGTTACCATAGTAACATTGTACTACTTTGGGGAAGTGATCAGTATTTTTTTTTTTTTTTTTTTTTTACACAATTTGCTTATAGCAAAGAATTACTTTGCTATAAGCAAGCATTTACCTGAATGAAATCGATTCATTCAGCTTTTTTTTTTTTTTTTTTTTTTTTTTTTTTTGTGCTTAGCTGTGATTTGGTCACAGCTAATCACATGACATGTGCATGTGATTAGCTGTGACCATTCACAGCTAGGCACTAGTATACAATGGATGGCATCATGAATGAAGCCATCCATTGTATACAACTGTCATGTGACCTGCTGTAATTGGTCACAGCAGGTCACATGGTACCAGCAACAGGAGCCGGTACTCGGATCTGTCATCGGCCGTGTCCGAGGTGCACGGCCGGTGACAGATCGCACTGCTGCGCCGCTCTGCATTAGCGCAAACGGTGCATGTGTGGGAGCATGCCAAATGGCGTGCACCCGGAGTGGAGAGACACGTCTGAAGCCGCCAAACGGCCATTGGCCGGGCGGCTAATGGTTAATGCCTGAAGGTTAAACAAATGTTAGTGCCCAAGCACAATTTTGACATGTTAGTAAAATGTACATATAATAATAACTACTTTGTGCATCCAGGTGGATTATACCTTGTATTTTTCCCGGACAACCTCGGCTTTCATTTGTTGTTAAATGATAACGGATATCTCATGATTTTTCTATTATAGGAATACTGGCCAAAAATAGTAAAAAAAAAAAAAAAAAAAAAAAAACCCACACACACACACCCCCCTTTTTAAAATTTAGATGTATGTACATTATCTATTTTATCTTACCTAAAATACACTGACACTACCTGACACTGATAATCTAGAAAAATATACTGATCCTGACCGTTCATCCTTACACTAACCCTGGCACTGACCTAGATCAAACCTTGATCTAGGTATGCTCTCTTTATTTTAGTATTTATTTACACAATTTCTCTCTCCTCTCCATTCACAGAGAAACAAAGGGGCGGGCTTCACGGTGATAGACAGACAATCAAAGGCTATCACCGCGATCAGGTGACCCAGAACCAGGAGTTCCCATTCCCAGTTTAGTATGGGACTCGGAGCTTCTGGTGAGACCCGGGTCTCTGTGCTGGTAGTATGCTGTGCGGTATGCTCCCAGCACAAAGACTGGTACGCATACTGTATATGCGGCCGCATGAAAAAAAGCCCAGTTCAGTGGGGCCACATATAAAGCATATGTTTGGCGCCAAGGGGCAAAAGCAGGTCAGAAGAATCTCCCCAGCATCCCTGTCTACACAATCCTTAAAGCTGCATTCACACCTGTGTGTTCTGGGAACATGTGTAGGAAAACACATTTCCATGTGCTTTCCTGCAATGTCTGAAAAATGTGCATCACACTTGCAGAGCCATTAATTGTTAATGGCTCTGCAGCCAATAAGTGTGCTAAAACATAAAAGGTAAAAAAAAAAAAATAAAAAGTGCAGGAGCTTCTTTGGCACATTTGACGTGCATAGGGCAGCTTATTCAAATGAATGGGCTTCCTTATGAAAAAAAACACAAAAAAAACCCCCAAAAAACCCAAAACATGAAGTGTGAATAGGGCCTAAATTATATTCAGGAAACAAATCAGAATGTATTTTTAACTGTTTCTGTAATCACCATGCATTTTCACTGTATGGTAACTGCATTGTACCCCAAGTGTGAGCAAGAAAGTACAGAGAAGTGCTACAGCTTTTACCAAATATTATTGTACAGATTTAATAAAAAAAATGGGTTTTACCGTAGACTGTCTGAAAAGGATTCCACTCCATATTTAGAAAGGCAGTATCCTCCTCCACAGATGACAACTCTTCCAGCAATGCTGGATACATTAACAACCCGTCCACGGGCTCTTCGGATTAAAGGCAGCATATTCAATGTGACATCGATCAGCCCTAGGAGGTTTACATCCAGAATTTTCTTGAAGTCATCTTTAGTTAGCCATTCATTAGGAGCAGTAGGTGTAGCAATACCTGCATTATTCACCAAACCCCAAAGGCCTGTGTGAAAGATAGTAGAGTTAAAAGGGATACTAAACTCTAGTTTAAAAAAAAACAAAAAACCTATTCAATTATACTGTATATTCTTTATGGCAATAGCACTTTTCATTGGGCCTCCTCCCAATTCCTTGTTTTTGCTCCTGTGATCGGAGTTCCTATAGTCCCACAGTAGGGAGGAACATAGTCACCCTCTCTTGCTCACTCCTGAGATGATCTAAGGATTATGGACTATAAAGTCTGTAGTGTGCATAGAGCAATGCACATTATGTTTGGGAGCTCATGAAAGACATTACAAGGAGGTAGAAACTCAGTAAAAACCATTTCAAGAAAAATAGATTAAAGGGCCATAAGGTAGTGGATGTGTATGGATTACTTTTGAAGACGAGAGATAATGTTTAGTGTCACTGTAAGAATCTTGCTGTAGTATAGTTTACGTGATAAAATGTGTAAGTTCCTGGCTTCTGAGTGGTTACATAAAAAGCGATTCTACATAAAACACACTGCTCTGTTTTTCTTGGAGTGCAGGAAGATGGTTACTGTACGCATCTTCATATATATTTGGACACAGGCATAATTTTAGGGTTTTTTTTTCCAGGTATTTACCAAAAATATATTCATGCTATAGTTACAGTATATAATGGATATGGGCTGAAAGTGCACACTCAGGTTTAATTTGAGGGTATGTACATCCAAATTGGAGGAAGGGTTTAGCAATTACAGCTCTTAAGAGTGGCCATCCCCCCTTTTTCACGGGACCAAAAGTCATTGGACAAATGAATATCAAATAAAATTTAAATTTTTAATATGTTGTTGAGAATCCTTTACTGGCAATGCCTGCCTGAAGTCTGGAACCCATGGACATTACCAAAGACTGGGTTTCCTCCTTTCTGATGCTTTGCCAGGCTGTAACTGCAGCTATCTTCAGTTGTTATTTGTTTTGTGAGTCTTTCTGCCTTTAGTTTTGCCTTCAGAAAGTGAAATGCATGCTCATTTGGGTTGAGATCAGGTGATTGACTCAGCCATTGCAGAATATTCCACTTTTCCTTCAAAAGCTCCTGGGTTGCTTTTGCAGTGTCTTTTGGATCATTGTCCATCTGCACTGTGAAGCGCCATCCATCAACTTTGCTGCATTTGACTGACAGTATCTCTAAACACTGCAGAATTCATCCAGCTGCTTCTGTCACATCAATAAACACCAATGACCCAGTGCCACTGGAAGCAATGCATGCTCATGTCATCACACTGCCTCCACCATGTTTTACAGATGTTGTGTGCTTTGGATCATGAGCTGTTCCAAGCCTTCTCCACACTTTTCTTCCTGTCATTCTGGTACAGATTAATCTTAGTTTCATCCGTCCAAAGAATGCTTTTCCAGAACTGGTCTGGCTTTTTTAGATGTTTTTTGGCAAAGTCTAATCTAGCTTTTCTATTTATGCTTACGAATAGTTTCCACATTGTGGTGAACCCTCTGTATTTGCTCTCGTGAAGTCTTCTCTTGATTGTAGACTTTGACAATGATACGCCCACCTCCTGGAGAGTGTCCTTCACTTGTCTGGATGTTGTGAATGGGTTTTTCTTTATCATAGAGAGGATCCTGCGATCATCCACCACTGTTGTCTTCCATGGACATCAATGCCTTTTTATGGTGACAAGATCACCAGTGCATTGTTCTTTCCTCAGAATGTACCAAACTGTTGATTTGGCCACTCCTAATGTTGCTGCTTTCTCTCTGATAGACCATTGTAAGGCTTCAAAAACAAAAAAAAAAATCTGTTTCACCTTCATGGACAGCTCCTTTTGAATGCATGATGTACGTTCACAGCAATAGATTCCAAATGCAAATACCACTTAGAATCAACTCCAGACCAGAAATAACGAAGGAGTAGCCCACACCTGGCCATAAAACAACTTTTGATTCAAGTGTTCAATTACTTTTGGTCCCTTAAAAAAAAAAAAAAAGGGGAGATGAATGTTCTTAAAAGCTGTAATTCCTAAACCTTTCCTCTAATTTGGATGTACATACTCTCAAATTAAACCCAAGAGTGTGCACTTTCAGCCCATATCCATGATATAACTATAGCTTGAATATGTTTTGGTAAATACCTGAAAAAAAAAATCTAACATTGTGCCTGTGTCCAAATATTTAGGGACCTAACTGTATATGAAGGTTAAAGTGTACTAAAGTTGTTGTTTACAAACATGTTATACTTACCTGCTTTGTGTAATAGTTTTGCACAGAGCAGCCCCAAATATCCTCTTCTGGGGTCCCCCACTGGCACTCCTGGCTCTTCTCTCTACCGAGTGCCTCCATAGCAAGCTGCCGTTATGGGGGCACTCATGCATGCTCACTCCCAAGCCCCACTCTGTGTGTCCATAGACAGTGCGGCTCAGCCCTACCTCCTGTTCCTTCCTCACTGGCTATGATTGACAACAGTGGGAGCCAATGGTGCCTGATGCTTCCTCTGAGTCAATGAGGAGGGAGGGACTGATCTGAGAGAGCTGCTGCTCTTGTTCATTGTTGGTCAAGATCGGGCTCAGGTAAGTATGGGGGGGCTGCTGCACACAAAAGGTTTCTTACCTTCATGCAAAGAATTTATGAAGGTAAAAACCTTCAGCCTTTAGAACTACTCTATTTTTGCCTAAGCAGTACCCTGAAAATTGTACCTTTTTGTCTTAAATTCCTCTTGAAACATTTAATTGTAACTAGGCACTCTTGTTTTCTAGTCTTGCAGCTGTATATCTGCATTATGAGATCATTTAAGATACTACTGCCTTCCACTGCTAATCTTAAGAGATTTGGTATGAAATGCGAGATGATACTTTTGAGCTGTTCACTTCTCTCCTAGCTGGAGAGAAAGCTGTAACTGAAAGCATTCCCCGTACCTCCCTTCCTTTGCTTCATCCGTTATATCAATTTTGTGATTTTTGCGACTGTTCTGCATTTATCTGTCATGATGCTTAATATTTACAGTTATCCACTAAATAGTATTACTTTCACAACACTTTTTTTTGCCTTCTCTACATGTGAAATCAGCTGAATGAAATCTCTAATAGCAGAACTAAAGTCTTTTATTTAGAAAAAGGTTGCCTGGTAGGCTTTTATTGCCGAACAGCCCTTTCCTTTCCCACTACCATTTTTCTTTTTCATTGTACACCAAACCATTCCTGTACAGTTCAATGTACAATCTCAGCATTCTGTACATGCTGGGAAGAAGTAGCTCCTGTGCGTCTGCATGGTAGTTAGGTCATCTGGGGCCAGTCAAGCCAGCTGAAACTTTGGATTCTGAGGAAAGCAGGAAAAAGATGGCAACAATGACAATGAAGCAACAAAGGGGAGGAAGGTACAGTTGCAGACCAAACAGAAGCTAAGATGGCAGCTTCCTTGGCTAAAAACAATAGGAGGGTTTGGTCCTGCTTTCAGGGAAGGTCCAATACTGATCAGTGACTGTGTAGAAGTATGTAAGCAGGTGCAGTTAGCTGGTTAGCCACTAGATGACTCTATTCCCATTATAGCCTGTGAAGGGGAACTTTAGAAGCAAGTGATTGCTTTCCTTTTTTCCAGAGCTTTCTTAAGTGATGTCCAGGGTGAGTTAGCACCCATATGTAAGCTAGATGAGGAGGAGCACACTCACTCTTGGGGCATGGGAGCCATACATCCAACAACTGTGAACATGTAATCTATACACATGGGCCCTGGACAGGCAGAAGGCTGGGTGGAGTGGATCTGTATGCAGGAGCACCTGGTTGTAGACATTCTGTGGGATGAGTGCTAGTGTGGATTGCAAAGGCCTTTTAGGCCAGGCTGGAGATCACTGGAGGATTCCTGGGAGAGGTGTACCCAGCTAGGAAGTGTCTACAGAGAGCACAGTCCTGTGCACTTATGACCCTTTATGAGGAGAGACTTTAGGAAGATGGCTGTGAGGTAGTGCACGTGCTTTCACCCGAAACTACTGAGGATCGTCCACTTTATGTGACTGACTGTGTATATCAAGTGACTGATACTGAGTGTGTGTCCTTGTGATGTGACTCTTGCCATTCCCTGAACACCACCAATAAAGTGCAGTGAAAATATTTGAGCTGCATGCACACTTGCGCCGCATGCACACTTGCGCCATGCTGGAAAAATGCTCAAAAAAAAAAAAGCCCCAAAAAACAAACAAAAAAAAACCTCTACACTTTTTCTGCTCCTAGAAGCTGCAGCTAAAAAAACCAAATCATCATAGCCCAAAGTAGTGTGCATGGACACAAAGGAGAACACTATTTAGCTTCTAGGAGCAGAAACAAAATACTAATAACTTCTAGGAGCTTTAAAATTGTGTTCTAGCAGGGCTGGTGTGGGGTTGGGGCTTGGCTTGGGCACCAAAACTAGCCAGCCACAAAGCCCCACTTATGAGTAAGACCAGTTCTTTTTAAAGACACAACCTAAAAAGGTCATCCAGCCAAAAAAAAAAAAAAATGGTTTTCCCAAGAGGCTGATTGTAATGCTTTTGGGTGCATAAAAAATTGTGTCCTCCAATCTGACAGATTAACTCTGTATTTCCCCCTACCTTGCATCCAGAAACAACTTAGAGTACACCAAAGTGACCCTTATGCAGGCCATAGACGGTTCGTTTATCGGCCAAATTTTTGTCTGAAAGAATAATCGTCCGATATTCGCAACGTTAGTGGGGCAATGTCATCAGCCGATTTCCGCAGTTCCTCCTCATTTCTTTTATCGGTCATGCTGGAAAATTTACGTAAAACGGCCGATTTTCGTAAGCATTGATGGCAACAGAATGACCAATTTTTCAGCCGATAAACGAGCAGTCTATGGCCTGCTTTACTATGCTCCAAATGCAACTCCTTTCCCCATAATTTCACAAGGTGCAGCAATGTCAACAAATTCAAGGTTGCAGGGTGTAGATTACCAAATGCTTGCACAGTTAATATAGGCATCCTAATCCTGTTGGAGGCCAAACAGTGTCTATTAATTGCATTGGCCAACATTTCATACACACCTTTATTTGTGGCAGTGTATAATTAATTCAGCTTTATCCCTCCACAAGTTGGTTTATGAACACTGCCGTCCCCCGTCCCCCCATAAAAAAAAGTATGGAATTGAAAAATCACTCATAACAGATAAGAATCCATCAAATAATGGTCTCACTTCAGTACAGTGTAGAGTTCTAATTGGTTGCATTTAAGAATTACAACTTTTTTTATAGGCTAAATTTACACAACTTGTATAATTTGTTAATTTGTATACATTACAATATCAAACCTTGGTCTGAGACTATATCATTGACCCACTTGGCAGCGGAGCTCACGCTTTCAGAGTTTGTTACATTGAGGATTGTTGTCTGCAGTCTACTGGAAGCCTCTTTCTTTAGATTCTCAACCCCCGTCTCGGTCAAGCAAGCAGCCAGAACCTTCATTCCACGTTTGTCCAGTTGTTTAGCCAACACATTTCCAAACCCTGAATCACATCCAGTGATGAAGACATATTTATCTGTGAGATTCTCCAAAATCAGACTGTATTTGTACCATCTGTACAAGAGGATCAAACCAAAAGCTGCCAGTAGAAGTAGCCACATGATGAAAAATCAGGATACCTATAGTGACACATGAAAAGCATTAACTATTATTTACATTCTTTATTTACAGGAAAATATAAATTGAAGTCTTGGTGTCAATATTCTGCACATTTTAATATCAAGCACTTAAAAAATGTCTAAATTAAAAAGGCATATTCCACGTTTTCAAAACCATGACTAGACAGTATGGCTCCAACATAAAACATATATATCAAGAAACCTAAAACCAATATATGTGTATATATAAAGCGCTTTCCCAACACTACATTAGATAGTGAGAGTCCTATAAAAGGGCATCACATAAATACAAAATTGTAAATGGATGAAAGCCCTATAGAAGGGTGTCACATTGGTCCAGAAAGGTCTTCTCCAATGTGTAATGTATGAATTTCCCACTACCAGAAGGTGTTGACCCCCCATAATGGATGGTCAAATATCGTTTGGATGATCAAACATTTGGATTTCCAACTGTAAGCTCTCATATGGTGGGTCTCCGGTCTCCCCATCTCTCAAGGGAGCGCAACATGAAAAGCAGATATTCATAAAATACATTCTAGATACTTATTTCAAGTTTTAGAGATACAGCATACATGCCATATACCACTCTTCACTCTGGTCACCCATCAAAAAAATCTGAATATTCTAATGTAGTGTTTTATATAGTTTCCTTGTATCAGGAAAGAAAACACATAAAAAGTAGACATAACCTCTATGGCGCTCGATCTGCAAAAATGAAACGATGAGTGGCAATATACACATACCTGCTATACAATCATACAGTTAATAACATACTAACTTGTAGCAAACACAAACTCGGAAACAGGACAAGTTGATCAGCAAGATCATTTTAAAAAAAAAAAAAAAAAAAAAAAAATTATAAATTCGACCGTATCTAAGAAACTAGAACTGATGCAGTCTAGTCAATGTAATTTTCTGATTCAGCACCCCGAACAGGTAAAAAGAGCAACGCACCAAGAAAAAAAAAAAAGAAGATCTCTTCTGTTGGGCTGTGTGATTATTAGGATATTTCATAATTTAAGGTGATAATTTGCCACTCAAAAGCTGCATTTAAAATATCCAGCTTTGTTGAGCAAAAAATTATCTCCTTTGAGTAATCCATATGCACTGCCAGGAATATAGCAGATACACACATTCCTCTGTTCTGAAGAAATAGCTCTTTGTTTCACCACATCCTCTCTCTGGCTTATATGTGAATGGGAAGGGGAGGGGGCAGTCTACTTTCATTATAACCAAGTATATCTCAGCACTGTAATGAGAAAAGGCGCAGTGTTTGCATCTCTTTAGAAGAGGACATGTCTGGAGCTCCTGCAGGGGAAGGCTGATATTTGACTTGTATCGGAGCAAAGTCATCCAGATAAAAAAAAAAAAAGCAGTAAGCCAATCACAGAATCAGAAAATAAGATTTCTGGGTGCATTCTGTGCACCAGTAATGTATGGAATGCCTCCATTTTGCCATACTGCAGGGAAAAGGCAGTTGAATTTGAGTTTTAAAATATATGGTGTATATACAAAGATTGTGACGGAAAAGCAATTTAACAGTAAATTACTTGTTCAGAAATTAAATGCATTTAATTGAAAAATGCATGTTTCTTTCACATTTTGTCATATAGAATATTTTTGAGGGCTACAAATAACTACATACACAAGTAAGGCATTTTTTATTAAATTGTATTTAAGCATACATAATTTAGATTTCAGGTCAGTTGCCAATAAATTCTTTACATACTTATCCTATCCTAATATAGATTTGATTTTATTATGCCATTTCAAGTTTCATGACAATGGGATTCTGCCTATGTTTCATCCATTGCACAACCCTAATACATAAAGAGTAGCACCCAATTACATCTTCACCCTGGGCGCCAGAGCATTTTGTTCCTGCACACCCCTGGGGAGGGGACTACTTAGTGGCCACTGTTTTCCTTTATTCTTCTACCCAGAAATGGGGACAGGTGGAAGGAGAAGAAGAGAATTTAGTGAGGTTGTGCGCTTACCACAAGTACACACAATGTAAGCATTGTATGCAAATAACTGGGCGTCACGGTCTGGTCAGCAGCCTGGGCAACATCTGGTCATATGAGGACATCTGGGTCACAGGTCCAACGCTGTCCAGGCCCCCTCTGGCTCTCAACTCCAAATCGCCACCTCACAAAGCTCATTAACAAACGAGCCGGGAGGCAAAAAAGTGCTAATAGTGAAGTACGTTTATTAAGAGCATAAAAATGTGAGCTAAAACAGCAACAACTCACATTGATAAAGCATACACATCCAGGCCAATAAATAGGCTCCCTGGTGGCTAGTAGTTCAGTCAGCATGCAAAAATATATACACCTCCCAATAGATAAGTCCCTGGTCCAATAGATAAGTATCCCTGGTCAGCAAGTAAAGATATAAAGTTTAAAAGTGGATGACACAGCATAAAGGTCTATAGGTAAAGTTTAACTATTTTGTGATGATAGAAAGATACTCAAAGGGGTGAATCAACCAGCCTAAAGATATAAAGTCTGGTGAAGGTGACAGAAAGATCCCTGGTGACTAGTGGTTCCCTAATAGCCCTAATGCCGTCTAATAGGGTGGATCCCCTAACATGTTATTTTCGAGCTAAAGCTCGTTTTCAAAGGGGTGAATCCTAACCCTAGACGCCAATTCTGAAAATACCCGCAGGGGCGCGATGCGCATTTTTTAAAGTCCTTGCGATATCCGATTGTCTATTCGTTATGTGTATGTGACATTTATTTATGATAATATGTGTATATAGGTCACCTAAAAAGGGTCATGATCCTATTTTTTTAATAAAGATGTGTATTCACTATATATTTTACTTTGGATGCACTGACTGATGGATCATCGCAAGGACTTTAATAAAATGTGATCCAGAAAATTATACATGTATAGCAGTGTACATATGTTGTTCTTTTTAATTTGATGTCATGGTTATGGATTTGGATGTATTCCATGGCTCTTATATATATTTCCCTGGTAGTCCAGTGTATCTGGGCTTTGTTTTTATTACTTAGATGCTGCTCTGGTCTCCAGTTTCATGGAGGAACGAGCAGCCGTCCAGACCCGCCCTAAGCCTGCCTATGTGTGGGCGGATGTGGGGACACTTGGGCTTCAGCATCCATATTAACGATGCGCTCGCGCATATGCGCAGTAGTCACACGGTAGCGTGTGATGTCATTCATGCATGCGCAGTATCCCGGAGCGGCGCGTGGCGTGTAATGCACATGCGCGGCCACGGGTATTTCAGAATTGGCGTCTAGGGTTAGGATTCACCCTGTGAGGGACCGCCGAGCGGCACCACTAGCACTCCACTGGTCAGGCGTGCCCAGAGCGCGGAGTCTAAGCCCCAGGGTACTTTTTCACCAGGGCCCCTGATGGTGGGGATGGACTTGTAGTACCCCGAGACCAGGTCGCCACTACTGAGCACACCTGTCAGTGGTAGGGGTGTTCACCAGGGGCTCCAACCAGGGAGAGCCAGATGTGAGGAGGTCGGGTGACCCCGATGGGATGGATGGATGGATGGCTGAGCAAGTGCGAAGTCAGACAGGCCGAGTCGGTAACGTAGAGGACGGTAAGGTACAAGGGAGCAGGCAGAGAATCGTCGGGTCACACGCCAGGTCAGCAACAGGAGGTCAGATCTAATGAGGGGCATCCAGGGAGAGAGGTCAGGCAAGCAAGGGTCTGGGCAGGAGAAATCAGCAGGTCAAGAACAATCCGGGTCAATAAACTTACAAGGCACAGGTACAGAATCACAGGAAGCAGGTAAGACCAGAAGGCAACGAAATGACAGCTCAGGGACCTTTAAATATCCCCCTGCGCTGCCATTGGTGCCCAGCGGGCGGCCGCGGCTTCTACTGCGCATGCGCGAACTTGAACGCCGCGGCCGGCCCGGACCTAGTGCCCGTGTACAGGGCGGAGCAGTGTGCCTGCGCCGGGACCATCGCGGCAGGGATCGAGGGGATCCCTGACACACCCCTTTGAAAACGAGCTTTAGCTCGAAACATGTTTAGGGGATCCACCCTATTGACGCCTTGCTATTAGGGAACCACTAGTCACCAGGGAATACCTTCACCAGACCTGGATGAGTATCTTTCTGTCATCACAAAATATTTAAACTTTATATCTTTATGCTGATACCACTAGCCACCAGGGACTTATCTATTGGACCTGGAGGTGTATATATTTTTGCATGCTGACTGAACTACTAGCCACCAGGGAGCCCATTTATTGGGCCTGGATGTATGCTTTATCAATGTGAGTTGTTGCTGTTTTAGCTCACTTTTTATGCTCTTAATAAACGTACTTCACTATTAGCACTTTTTTGCCTCCCGGCTCGTTTGTTAATGAGCTTTGTAAGGTGGAGATTTGGAGTTGAGAGCCAGAGGGGGCCTGGACAGCGCTGGACCTGTGACCCAGATGTCCTCATATGACCAGATGTTGCCCAGGCTGCTGACCAGACCGTGACGCCCAGTTATTTGCATACAATGCTTACATTGTGTGTACTTGTGGTAAGCGCACAACCTCACTAAATTCTCTTCTTATTCTACTGAATGGGATTTGGAAACACCATTGGATCATATCCAGCTTCCTTTTTGCTATACTATATGAACTATTGAATTTTTACTATATATGGTGACACCCTCCTTGCTTGTTATTCATTCCTTAGCGCTGCATACACCATTTACATTTTTATATTCCAAGGTATTGAGGATTACCCTGTATGTTAGCTGTTCACCTGATCTGTTTTGCGCTCACTTACCACCCTCTATTTAGGTGGAAGGAGAGATGTGCATTCTATACCCAGGGCAGGGTACCATTCAATGGCCGCCATTTTCTTTCTTCCCAGAAAATCTGTGCACTAGGGATAGGTGATAAATGAAATGAGTAGCATGTACCCCATCTACCTTGGGCATGGAACATTGTGATGCTGGCTACGAAATTGGAGATAAATGTCGCTTTGTCTATTGCTTCACATA